AACTCTTCAAGCAATAATGGGCCAACACAATCATCTAAGATGTCAGTTCATGAGCTAGACGTTTCTCGCAGGCTTTGTTCAGCAAGACGCTTCTACATAACACCTGCATCACTTGTGGTGCCAAAAGTGTAATTTTTCTTGCAAGTAGTTTATATCATACTTTCATGGAAAAACAATCTACCCTGTCAAATTTAGCAACACACACTTCCCTCCAGGGCATGATTAGTGCCACCCTAAGCAGCAGGCCTCTCTTACATAGTGCCACCTAAACCTATCAGTGAAGGTGGGTGAGAGGGGACACTATTTGACAGCTTTGCATCTTTGAAGGAGCCATTGCTAAATAAAACACAGCATTTGCATTCACACACTTGCATCTTTTTGCCTTCCTGTTTTATGCAAATATGAGCTTACAGGTACAGGAGCCTACAGCAATTATTGAACAGCCTTTCAGAAGAGTCATTTCATTGCAGACTCTTCTGAAAGGCAGTTCATGAAGTTTTAGATGACCTGCCCAGCTATTTGCATGAGCATCTCACTCCCACTCTCTCCCTTTTGTCCTACACCACCTGCAACACCAAAAACAAAATTGCTAATGAAGCAATACTTCCTTGCACAGAGTTGAAACAAACACCTTCTGCACTCCAGTCACAATCAGCCAAAAGACTCGGTAATTAAAAGCTGAAGGTCAGCATTAGGCTATGCACCTCTACATAGAGGGAGCGAACGGCAAATTCTGCAGAAGGCAAGCATGCTCGCTCCTCATTTGGAGGGAATTTCCCTATCTTTGTCATCAGCAGAAAGAACACGGACAAACACAGCGTCAATTTATAACCCTCCATTCTGCGCTCCGCTAACATTTGCGTTCAAAGACAAGCTCATCCTAAACTCCAAGAGAAGGAATCCTGCTTGGCAGTTCTTCCACTCAGCAGGTATATTGCAACATCCTATCATAATGAAACAAATACATAAAATTAATTTTATATATATACACAGACACACACTCACACACACATCCTATGTCTCATAAGACATCATTTTATATATTTACTTATGCATATATGTGTAAATGTATATATGCATATATAAAATAAAAACTAACCCAAAATAAAACTTTTTTGCCTGTGGATCTGCAGCTACAGAATGAAGGGCCGCAGGAAGGTTTGTGACAGTCCCTTATCTTTCACATCAAATGCTCTGACCATTCCTTCGATCCTTCCTTCTCCACTGTGAATACAGAGCACATACTAAAAAAAACTTCACTCTACCAAAACAAATATTACACTATGAAAGCAATTCTCTCCATGAAAAGAAAATAACAAAGACTGATCCATGCAACGGATACTAATCACACCACTTAATGCACTCCTGAAAAAGCACTCAGCTACTACAGGGGAAACAGAAACCCACACAGTAAGAAATTCAAACTTTCATATAGTTTGAAATGTATACTATCCATAGGAAAAACATTTTAAAAAAATTCAGCATTGCTTACCACCACAAACCACCAAGAGTCAACTAATATTTGAGGATGAGCTAGTTATCAAGATAGATATAACTTCATTCAAAGTCATCTCATTACTAACCCCAAGACGTTGCTTTCAAGAATAAAAATCGCCCACCTTACCCTTTCGTGACAGTATCTACTACTTGCTTGTGAAAGAACAAGGCTGACAACAGCAGAACGTCTTAAAAATCAGTACGGTGGTTCTGTCTCATTCTTAATATCTACCGCTTTCAACAAACAAAAGATATTGACACACCAAGAATTAGGACTCCCCAGGACGAGGTAGGCACAGATGAAGCAAGGTATCTCAGTCAAAACGGTATTAAAAACACCCCTGCAGGTAACTCTCTCTTCTAGAAAGCTAGCCTTTAACTTCAGATTTGCCTTATCTGCAGACTGTATCACACACCTAAACTATTATACACTTACATCTCTGTGTGACCTGAGTTGGCAGCATGATTCGGCATTACAACGTGAAGTAGAACAAGTTAGCAGGTGAATTCTTTACCTTCCTATGACTGAGGCAGATTGGAATTTTCCGAGGCAGCTGCAGCACCTGCTAGCGCAGTGGTTAACATGCGTGCTTACACTCCGAAGCGTTCAGTAAAACATCCGGGTAACAAATCATTTACTTGCTAAAGGCAAACAAACCCAACGAAAAGAACGCACACTGAGAGGAAGCACAGTCATCGCTTTCACACGCTCACCAGCAAGCAACTGGTCAGCGGACCAGCAACTTTCGGACATCAAGACCCAACAGAATTTTGCTGCTATTTTCCTCAGGGGATGCAACTTCAACATGTGCCTTCTCCTGTTCTCTAGTTTCTCCATCTGACCTTCTAACTAGTTTGTCATTCCCAATTTCAAAAAAGTATTTTTCTCCCTAGAGTTAGCATTATCTATCAATGTCCTGTGGTCTTTCCAATGTTTTATGCAGACTCTGCAGTCTTTCACTCTGTATATCTTTCTACAGCATTAATTCAGCTCTCTAAACTTTAGGTAACACTTACCCTAAATCAATTTGGAGATACCACTTCAAACCTGCAAGTGCGATGAAAAAATGCAGCAACATAACCATTCCGTAGTCAGAGTATAATCTGATTGGCGAACATAGACTATTATTATTCAAGATACAAACAAAAAAGGCTGGAAAAGAGTGTCAGCAGGGAAAAACAGCTTCACAGGTTTGCTCTGCAAGAGCTGCCTCTGAGATTGCGAAGCTAAGCTTTTACTTATTCCCCTTAAAAAAACTACAGCTTTTCTTTACTCTCTTCACCTTTGTATTCAAAAGGAAATTCTCTTTACCAGTCTTGTCCATTATTATAAAATAATTATCGAGAGGCTTTAGCTTATATCCAGCAAAGCTGCTTGATCCTGTAATTATAACGTAATTCTGATTTGTGACATCAGTACGTTGCTATGGCATTGAATACAGTTTCAGTTCAAAATAAATACCTAAATCTAAGGACTCAAGGATTTTCACCTTCTTGGTACAATACTGAAATCTAATCTCTATTACAGCTATTCATATCACAAACACAGCCAACGACTTCCCCCTCAGAAAAGAAATTCCTGGTATCTAGTCTTGAAAACAGAATTTATGCTCCCAGTGACAGAAGACATGTTACAGCATCTCATCTGGTTTGCTTTAATTTGAAAAGGAAAATCCTACAATAAAGGGTTTAGCAGGCTTAAGGAGGCATTCCTTCCTTTCATGGAAAAGGGCTGAGAGCAAAGTTACTGTCTTAAACGGCTTGGGGCTGTAGCCAGGAGTTACGCTGCTCCTAACACAGACCAAGAGAATCTTGAGTAAAGTTAATGTTTTCACTTAGTCAGAATAAGGGTTTCACTGAAGACAGTTTTTTGAGCAGGAAAAAGTTAAAGCAAGCAACTCCGAAAAGTAAGTTAGCTTAAAAACTACTCACCTAAAACATTTAGGAAGGAAAAAAAACCCACATTAGAAGACTGAAGAATATAAAAATTTCAGATAAAAGCTTTGATGGAAGAGAAGACTGTTTAAGTTACGTACTGCATATGAAAGAGAATAGTCTAATTTTAGACTATTATTAGAGTGATGCAAGAAAATTTCCCTTTTTTGTGGATTTTGCAATATAGCTGGTAGTTTTATCAGCTTAAAAAAATAAAATCAGGTGATATGTTTTAATGTTGATGCAATCTTTTCAGGCACAGAATTTATAACAACTTTAATGCGATTCTTTTTGCAGAACAGTTGCAGATTATGTTCTCGCATTACAAAGGTTTGACAGCATACAACTGCCACAAGCTTACTATTGCTGTTTGACATAAATGTATGAAAAATGCAAATTGAAATGCACTTATTTTCCCATTGTTAATTGAACAAGGTGTAGGCTTACTAGACACATAACATCGAACTATTACAGACTGAAAATCCAAGCAAGATACCCCACATCTACTTTTACCTAGATATCCAACTTGGCATAAAAATCAGCCTGAAATCAGATGCTCAGTGGGTGGCAGGAATATATACTTTTGAAATCTAAGTCATTAGGATGAGACAGTTCTTTCAACATCAGTGTAATTTAATAAATTCGCTCTTTGACATTATATATTAGTCACTGTTTAACAGAACATTATGCATCAATTCAGATAGTCTTATTTGATTTTTTTTTTTTAAATACATAGTAACATTGATTTTCTGGTCAGCACAAGCATGTCACACAGTACTTGTCGACAAAGCAGAACTCTTTTTGTAACTATTATAATATAAGGCATCCAAATTCAATTTAAGTCATTAGCTTGAATAATTGATTGGTTAAAGGTAAAGCCCAAATTACTGAATAATAAACATCATCCACAGTAAGTCTCGTGAAACATCTAGCCAAATCAACTGGATAGAAGGGGCAGTCAAAAATTGTGCCAAGCCTCTCCTCCCCCCGGGCGAAGATGATTGAGCCTGATTTGTGAGGCAAAAGTGGGCCAGCATCACGTAAGCAGTGAGACAAAAAATGTATTATTATAAAGCTATAATATTTAAAAGTTAACTGTAACTATATAAACTATATTTACTATATAAAGTTAATTATATATGCTGCAGATGAAAACTGTGAACCTAGGAAACATATGTATGGTACCAAATCCATGAAGAGACTGAATATCAGGACTAACAAACAGGCTACCTGTATAGCATTACTTTCCAGAGTGACAGAAAGTGGAGGGTTTTTTTTTTTTCTTAATTATTACAGTAGAAATCCTAAACAGAATTAGGACCAGCATGCCAGTGAAAACTCAGAAGTTCTAAGAAAGATATTTTAATGCATCTTCATTTTGACTCAGTGCACTGTTTTGCCTCACAACTCTAATCATTTTACAGAAATACTTGGTAAGATTTTCAGCCAGAAAAAACTATCAAAAAGAACAGCAGAAAATTGGTGTTGAAAAAAAAAAAAAGGAGATTAGTGTCATCTAAGTATAAAATGAAAAACTAAAAGGAGGAAAAAAAGACCATGTATCATACCTTACTAGGAATCCGAAAGCTTTCAATAGGACTGAGGTCATGAACGCTCTCTTGAGGACTCCTTAGACCCTTTAAAAGAATTTGAATATTCAGTTAGGATTCATTAGTGTACGTGTCTTGCTAGCAAACTGCACAAGTCTCACCTGGTGTTGAAGTAAATATACCTACAAATACTTTAATAAGTTACACTGACACAAGGCTGGAAGGCTAAGGCCTTATTCTCTGAACATTTAAATGAGACTATTCATGTACAAATCAACCAAATATCGAAGCATTTCCAACTTTCCCCTGCCAGCTCCCAGATCTATTATTTGATGTTTATGTTTTTTTGGACACACTTCCATTTTTAATGTACTCTGCTCCACTAACTTGATGGGTTAGTGGAAACAAATAAAATTTCATTCAAGGTAAGTGACACCTACTCTGTAGCATAATTATTTTATTTTTGTATGATGGAGTACTTCTCTTTTTACCATATAAAACTATTAGGACAGGTTTTCCTTATCCATAAGGAAATTCAAAAAGATGTAAAAAAACACATCAGTTGCTTCATGTAATAATTACTCTTTAAAATACATATAGTCACATAAATAGAATATGTTCTCGTAAGACTGAAGCTTTCTGCACGAAGCATCAATTAACTGGAGAGCATGCGTATACTGAACATTCAACACTATTTTATAAAGCAGTACCACATCACATGCTTTTTAGTACGTTTCCTGCTAGCTTTCTAGGGGGAAAAAAAAAAAAAAAAGAGTATGTTTTTACTACAATCAGAAACAAGAAAGAAGAGGTGACCTTAAACATTCAGGTTTCAAACACAGTTCTAACTCCAGGTTTCCTTGAGACTCCAGGCAACTCTCATGAGCCCTGCCTTTTAGACAGACTTAGCTCCTATCTTCCCCAACTGATACCAATGATACCACTCCTAAGCCCTTTTCAAAAAATCAGCCCTTGGGTACCTATGCTTTCTCTGCAATGAAGGGAGCTATGCAATCACTAGGTAACCTTCAAAGAAATACCTCCTTATTAAAAATCAGCTTACAATGAAAGAAGTTTCATTTTAGATGGAAGGAGGTAAAACAATCTGTTTTCTATCTGTTAAAAGCGATAAAGTGTTTTACAAGTTAATCACTTTTATGGCAACTACTACACTTCAAAATTGTTTCACTTTCCTGATATATACAAAACCTCCTTTTTAGTTCTTAGATTCTCAGATTTTCTTGCACATCATTTAAAAACAACCTCCCTTTCCAGTTACCACCAAAGACAACTGACCTCTACGATTCAGAAATTCAAGGTACCAAACAACCCAAAACAACTGCTGCACTTCTCATTTGCATATATTCCCTTCAAAAATTTGCAGCACTTGCAGATTATTTTCAAAACCATTAAAAAGGTCCACTCACTGACTGCTAAGTGGAAATTAAGTCTTCCCAAAGGCTGAAAAATGAGTTATATACTTTTCAGACCACAAATTTCAGTTATTCCTACACCAAACCTTTCCATACAAGGCAGGCTTCCCAAGTGTCCTTTAGAAAATACTAACATACCCACATGCATACATGAATTTAAAAGCGTATTTTAAAATAAATGTTATTTTTTTAATTCAGAAATTTTTAATATTTTTTATTTGATCTAAACAAATTTCCCAGAACTTAAACTGCTGGGGCACAAAAAGAGAGAACTGAATTCGTAGCCAGTAAGGTCGGAGATAATGATTCATGTTCCCGTTGTTAATTCACTAAGCAAGAGTAGCTTCTGCAGTTAATGCCCAAATTATTCCACAGGTGCCCACAACTCCTTTTAAGCAGGCTGAGAACTGATCATTTACAACTGTACTGACAGCACTCCCATGCGTGTTTTTCATTGCACTAGTATTAAGAACTACAGGCACGCCAAAAGACCTAGACATAAAAAACTCTAAAAGGTGGCAAGATAAAAAATTCAGAGGAGAGACGCCTGAACTCAGTCAAGCCTCGAGCTAGAAACGAGCACAGCACATGTAAAGTGATGACCTAAGAAATCATTTCAGCAG